TTTGAAAGGCTTTCACCTGCTGTAACCTTAACTGCACCAGCTGCAAGCACTGGCACCAAAGGAGCACAGTGAGGAAGGAGTGAGGAAGGAGCCATGCAGCACCTCGGGGCAGCCACAGGCAGTTCAAAACTGGAGGCGAGAGTTGGGGTGCCAAAACCCCATCCCAGGCAAAGGGCTCAGTTTGCTGCCCGGGGAAGAGGAGCTGTTACAGAAGAGATGCAGGGACCTGGAGAAAGCAGACAGGGAAGTCCCTTTCTATTGACCAGGCAACTGATTTACACTTTGGTGGCCAGAAAAGGCCCTGCCAGGCTGATGAGCAGCAGGGATGTCTCCAATGGAGCCTCCTCAGCCATCGCCAGTGCCAAGGGCAGGAGCAGCACTGGGCAGCACAGCAGAGCTACCTGCTTTGTGGGGGTTTCAGTCCAACAGGGCTCCATTCTCACTTGTGGAGGGGAGAAAACAAAATGGCAGAAGGAACTCAGAAGGTGATGGGACCAAGTGGTGCTGCAACCAGCCTTGGGACATGCCTGGAGAAAGGGCAAGAACAGCAGAATATGGCTGCTGGAGGCTCCCACCTTGCAAATGGTGCTGAGACCCAGTTTTATCACCCACAGCCCTGCAGCAGTGGCTGAGGCTCAGGGGCAGAGGCAGATCCCTGTTGCTTCTGCACCTCCAGCTTCTCCCTTTGCAGCTGCTGGGCTGTAGCAGGATGCAGCAGCTGAGTGCTGGCCCCAAGCCACCCTCTGTCCCTGCGAGAGAAGACAAGAGCACGAAAGACAGAAGGGACTAAAACCATCCTCTGAAGGTGGTAACAGTAGCAGTGGGTGATCCCAGAAACAGAGTCCCAAACCCAGGAAGCTTTCCCAGGGCTGGGACACCAAGGAGGCCTCTCCTCCGAAAGCAAAGCCAGCAAGGAACTGGCTTGGATGAGTCAAACTGCTTGGCCAAAAAGCTGCAGGATTGCCTCTGAGAGGCCCGAGGACTACCACTGGGAACGACTCTTGGCACAGCAGCAGAGCTCTCACCTGGGCTGGCTGCTGGCCACTGAGCTGGGCAGAAAGTGGAGCCTGGCAATGGCAGAGC